ACACTGACTGTGATTGATTCTTTCAGGCTGTGATTCTCAAGGCATTGGCATTGTTCTAGATTGAAACTGAGAATTAGCCTCTCTCGATCGTCATATGTGCCTTTGGTTCCTTCTACATTTATTTCCAGCTGATATTTCCATGATTTACATTCTCGGCTGATGTTTTTCTGCTAGCATACTTTACTCACAGATGTATGGAGGCACCAAAATCTTTTAAGTGCTTAGGGGCCCCTATAGGTCTTAATCCAGTCCTGGCCTCACACCACAAAACTACTTCTGTATCTGGTGGACTAGTTAACAAGTGGTGCTCTCTAAGCTGCTAACAACAGGACAAACCATCAGTGTGGATGTATATTTGCAGTATTTGGAACATGTGCAGCAGGCACTGAAGCAGAAGGAGCCAGCATTAGTTAATCGCAAGGGTGTACTGTTCCTCCATGACAATGCAAAGCCTCATGTGGTGGTAGCCAGGGATACCATATGGCAACATGGCTGGGAGACACTATGCAATCCACCTTACTCCCCAGCTTTTGCACCAACAGATTATCACCTCTTCCATTCCCTGGCGACTGCCTTCATGTGAAATCTTTCACAAATGAGGCATATTGGTGGCAGACACTCAGAGATTTTTTGCATCCAAGACTCCTTATTTTTACTGTCAGAGCATTGAGCAGCTGGAGGCACATTGACAAAAGGTTCTGGGTGCTGATTGCGATTACTCTGATGATTAATGATACGTCAAATTTGCTGTATAGCTTTTTTTTTCTAATAAATCAAAAATGGCAAGGACTTTTTTTGGTTACCTTTTAGACTGCTGATTTATTCAAATAAAATCATTTGCTAGCCTAAACATGAAAATAATTTTTAAAACATACAGCAATTAACTGATCATAATTTTGATAATTATTTTTACAAGACATGGCACTGTTCTTTCCTCAGAATAAAACTGTCTTAGAAGAGATCATTTAGACATTTACTATACTTTGCTTATCTAGCATGGGGCTACAAGTAGGGGTGAGCTACCGAAGATTTTATTGTATCAGTATCATGGGCTAACTAAAATATTTTAATATTTTTCTCTCATACAAAAATATATTTTTATCTTACTATTATTTTGTAGTTCTCTCTTACTCCCCCTCTCTCTCTCTATCTATCTATCTATATATATATATATATATATAACTATAAATATAAAAGTGAACATTGAAGCGACAGGCTGCTTCATGCTAGACGCAATCATCAGGCTGCAAATATTGGATTTTTCTCAACTATTTATATATATGAGTCAGTGGTGCATTGTGGGTAATCCATTCTGGCGTTTATTTTTTGAAGTGGCTTGTTTGTTTATTTATTTATTTGTTTGGGTTAATTTATTTTACTTGTTTTTCATTTTCATTTTGTATTATTTATTCGCCAAATAAAAATAATCAATCCAAATTAATAAATAAATTAAAAACTGTCCCCCGCCAAAATAACAGAATAGACTATGGCAAGCAATCTAAACATTGGACCAATAAATAGCTTAATTATCTTCTCAGACCAAAACAAAATATTGAATAAGAGCCCTAAGCAAATCCCCCACCACAATTTTTTTACTACATTAATAAAACATCAAAAGCTGAAAAGAATAAATAATACAAAATGAAAAACAAGTAAAATAAATTAACTAAAACAAATAAATAAATATATATATAGCTTGTCATACACATTGCTGTTACACCTGCAGAAAAAGCATAATCCATCACAAAACTGGGCTCACATCCATAATTTGCTTTCCACAAACATTTTCAGTAAATGTTGATGATATTGATAGGTATAATTTATTTCCCCATGGAAGATTTCTGTTATTCACATTTGCTTCATGTCAAATTTTATGTCAGATGCTGTTTTGCTAGATCGCCACACAGCTGTAATCTAGGCAAAGACAATGTGGGTTATTGGTAGCAGAGCTGGTGGAAGGGTTTTGTGCCCCCACCCTGAACCTATGATACAGCCCCCCACCACTCTACTACATCTCAATTTTCATAAGGTAGTGATCATATAAACTACAAATTAATATTGTAACATAATTAAGTACAATAATGAATCATATGCACTATAAGTGAACAATTCAACTAGAAAAATTGAAAATAAATACAATGTATCTAAATACAACTTAGAGACATGTCATGATAGATCATTGCATTTTAAATAAATCAACGATTTTTAACATCAACTGTCGATTCTTATTGATAAAAAGTTGAATAATGTTAACACATTCAACATTATGGATAGAAAATAGTGAATTTTATATAGTGATTTTTTTTTAGACTTAGCATGAGCAAAACAAATTCATGGATTTGGATGAAAAAGAAACAAAACCCAAAATGATGTTAAAAATTCTTCATCCTTCAGTAGTTAGATGTGCTTAGTTTAATTTGTAATGTATATAAATGTAGGTAGAAAAAAGCAAATGCTGATAAGATAGCAAGGGTCACAAAGCACTGCCCAGGGCCCCTAATTAGTTTTGTGTCTCCACTCCAGATGGGAGATTTGGGGATAGTATGTGCTGACATCTGATGTTGTGGGCCATCATAATAAAACAGACACCATTACTTTTTCATATATTGCTCTGCTTTCTAATAAAGGCTCAAGTCATATTATTCTTTCTTATACATAAAGTCATATTTTACTTTATATTATAGAACAGATTTCTTTGCTTAATTTGCGCACTTGATGTTAACATTCCTGGTCATAAATCATTTACTTGGAAAAAAATTATTTTTCAAAATGTACAGAATTTAATAAAAATTCAATAATCCTCCCAAGATTTGCTTTATGCTTTACAACACAAAAAATATATACATTTCCTGAAAATAGACTTAGTAGCTACCAGCTACCTTGATTTCAGTGATTATTAAAGCTTAATTTAAGGCACCTATTGCAGGTCAAACTCACGAGTCATGCTTAATGATCTGGTTTGAGTGGCACACTACAAAATTATATCATGGAGAAAAATCTTTTGGTATTACTTTAGCTGTGGTTTACTGCTATTTCTGTAGTCTATGCTGTGAAATGAACTTTAGTGTCCAGTCTACATTTCATGTTATGGATTTTTTACTTGTGTTTAACTTTTTTCATGTTTTTGACCTGAGTGCCCCTGACTAGTCAATATAAAATGACCAAGCAAGGATTTTAAAGAAAATGAGTGTCGTTAGCAGTGAGCTTTTTTCCAATTATACCTTGATCATATTGCCGGAAAGTACTGAGAAAAAAAATGAAGTAGATTTGTTTTTGATGTTCCTAAATAATACATGAAATGTGTATTATTAATTAAAGAATTTAAGTAAAAATTGTTTGTATCAGTTATGTAGCACCAATGAATTCCATCATAATGATGACCATTAATGTACTATTTAATCTTTTTTGATGACCATTAATGTACTACAGTGTAACCCGGATATAAGAGACCCGGATATAAGAGAAACCCAGATATAAGAGAGATTTTTGGTCCCAAATTAGAGCCTGTGTTAATGTATATAAAATAGACCAAACCTGGATATAAGAGAAACACGGATATAAGAGACTTCTTCTCCGGTCCCGACAACTCTCTTATATCCGGGTTACACTGTATTTAATTTTTTTGGTGACTAATCTTTTTTGATGACCATTAACAAACTATTTAATCTTTTTTTATTACTATTTTTTTGATTTTGATTACTATTTTTGCTGACCATTGATGTACTATTTAATCTTTTTTAATTATTATGATTCTGATCTGTATGATTAAGTGTATGCCATTAATTATAAATCATTATTCAATTTGTTTTTATTATCCTGCAGTATAAAGTTCATGTAGTGGAGATAAGCTGCACATTGAAGTGTAAAAGTGCAGGCAGACTGCATGCTAAAGTAAACTGTAAATGCTAAAGTATTTCCAATCTTTTAATATGGCTTAGGCAAAGAAAATTAAATTCTGAACTTTCACATTGCTAGAGAATGATAGTCAAAAAATGATGTAGACAAAAAAGCATGAGTCCTGGAGGCTGTGTACCTGGATGTACTTACCCAGTGAGTAAAGTGAGTTAGAATCAGACACACACTCTGATGTCTGAGCGAACCTGACAATTTTTGAAAAATTCATTATACAAAAAAACTCAAAAGCAAACTATATACATTGCATTCTTGTTTAAAATAATCATATTGTATGGGATGACAATATTCACATTATCACAAAAAATTTATAATTTCCCAATTTGTTGTTTTCCTTTCCGTAATTAAGTGTTTATTAAATGGCTTGTTAACTAACACGTTTATTACGGAATGTTATTTTCTTTAAATCTATTGGGTAAAGTTTTCTCATAGTTCTTTATAAAGCACCCGATTGTTAAAGTCTAAAAAAAAACTGTGCCGGACATAAAATTTAATAATTTTGTGGTATATTCTATTGCTAAATTAAAAGAGAAGTAATTTAAAAAAATGGTAAATCGTGGCTACGATTTCGATCATTCTTTAAGGAATTAAAACTTCCTTAGAAGAATTTATAAAACGATTTAACAACTAAAGAAACATATTTGTATACGCTGATTATCTCCCTTGGCTTTAATCACTGACTCGCAGCTAACAAGTAAATCGTTTAAAAATTCATGTTACATTTAAAAATTGATAGCGATTTTTTTATCAAAATTATAACATCGACTTAAATATTTTATTTAAAAAAATGAAATGAATAATTTTGTTGCAAGTATCTGATAATTTGATATAACCGGAAGTAACTGAAAATGAGCACAATAAATACTTAATAATAATTGCAGGAAATAAATATACCAATTTTTATATATTATCAATTTTACAAAACAAATAAGAATAATTTTAAAGATATTTTTTGCATAAAGATTAAAATTCATTTTTCATTAAATATTCACTTTACAAAATGTGCATAGATATAGTTTGCGAATACAGTTCTGCAGCGGAAGTTAGTTTGTCGGTCTTTTAGTCCACCATATTATTTGGCGTGTAACATGAGGTAAGTGTCTCGTAATTTGATTTCATTATTTCAATCATTAAAATATGCAAAAATTGAGCTTAATGTATTTATTTAATGAAGTTTTATGTTCTAGTTGACTTATTTGTAGGTATTTTCTGTCTTTGTGTCCTTCTTTTCTATTATTTCGCAATTTATTACTTTCTACCGCCTAAGGGAATTCGCCCATGTGGTCTCGACCGACATATTTCCAAGTCATGAAATTAATTTTTTCCCCCGCTTTGTGTTTCGCCGAGTGAATTTTGCAGGTTCTTTTTGTTGGTAAATTGAATACGTGTGCAGTTAGCTATTGCTTTATAATAAAATTAATTAGTTTACTTTTTACTTAAATTAATCCAGTTATAGAAATGCGAGAATCTGGTGTGATTTCCATTACAATGGCGATTAGCAGTTTACTTATTCTCGAAACTTATGTCAAGTTCTTTTTTTATTCTAGTTAGATGGATTTTTTAAAGTTGTAAAAACAAAACTTTCTTGAAAATTTTTTCTTGTTTCACACCTGAAAGAAATAAACTCAAATTTTGCAAATCAACTTTTTTATTTTAATTAAAGCAATTTTATATAAAAAAAAAAAAAAAAAATGTGCTAATAAAATAGGTTTTTCTTGAATTTTTTATTTAGTATAAAAAATCATAAAAGACTGTATTTTCGTGGTCTGAATTTTTATGAGGAAAAATGGTTTTAGTTCTTTTTGAGAAAAAAAAAAGTGACACGTGTGTTACTGAAATTATCTTTTCATTTTATTACACTGTTGCGTATTGATTGAATTTAAGATTCCTGTATCTTTTTTTTCCTTCTCAATTTAAGGTAACTTTTTTAAATTTATAATATAAATTTCTTCATTAGGTATTTCACGTGGTTTGCTCACGATTTACTTGAACGTTGAATTGGTGTTTTTAGTGTCTTTAAAATAAATTTAAAACTATTTAAAAAAAAAAAAAAAAGCATTGCATTAATTTTCTGCTTTCTTGCATTTATTTTAAATATATTTTTAACTTTATTTTTACTACTGTTTCATTCCGGTTTTCAACGACTTGAATAAAACAAATCCTAAATGGAATAAAAAGCCTAGTGATGCAATCTCGTCACAATATCTTGACAACTGCACAATCTTCATTGAACTATTATTATTACTTTATCTAACGTTAATTGTAATTAAATTAAAATTACTTATTGAAGGTACAAGGTGCTTTTCTAATTTAAATTATTCTTAGTTTTTCAAGTGTTCGTCTTCCTTTACCGTCGACTGGGTTAACGCTAGTCAAGAAAAGCAATGTGTAAAAATATTCAGGAAAGTTTATGGAAGTCTTCAGGGAAATAAAATTAACATTTGAATTGTCTTCATTTATTTGATATTTTTGTAGCAGAAATCAGTCTTTTGCTTTTTTGTTTATGTATGATTAAAAAAATTTTCTTACTCAAAGTTGTCTTCATCATATTGGTTGTCAGGTAAGAAATTCAAAATAGTTTCGATGGGGCTAAGTTTTGAAAAAATTTTTTTTTTTTTAATTCTAAATCCTATCTATAAAACATCTGATGTATCTGCATTGTTGTTAAGCTTTTGCATCTTTTTTTTTTCTCCAGTAACCTGCGCCTACAGAAGCGGTTAGCATCCGCTGTATTGAAATGTGGCCGCAACAAAGTGTGGCTTGATCCAAATGAAACCAGCGAAATTGCCAATGCAAATTCTAGTAAGATTTTTTTTTCCTTTACAAAGAATTTTATGTATGCCCTCTCACCTCCCAAAAGATTTTTGTAACTTAAACATGTGTAAAATCTCGAATATAAATAAAATGTATCTGTAAAAAGATATGAATAAAAACAACAGGAAAGCTTGCTAATGTTATCTCAGCTTTAGTGGAAAACAACTTTCAGAAAACTTTGACCTGATGCCAATGTTATATGTTCTGCCCAACTTCTCCCTGAGTAAATACTACTGTTCTTCTCTATTCGTTATATTTAAAAGTCAAGAGAATATGTAACCAACATTTGCATTAATTTACTTTTATTTTTATTTCAGGGCAAAACATCCGTAAGCTGGTAAAGGATGGTCTGATCATCCGTAAACCTGTCCGAGTTCATTCTCGGGCTCGTGTCAGGAAGAACAAAATTGCCAGGAGAAAAGGGCGTCACATGGGACCTGGTAAAAGGAAGGGAACAGCCAATGCTCGAATGCCACAAAAGGTTCTTTGGATTCGCCCGGCAGCGAGTTTTATGAATTTGACTCCTGAAGAAGTACAGAGAATCAAAGAAAATTGATAAACATCTGTAAGTTTGACTGGTATATCTTCTGGGGAGTTTTGAATATTGTTTAAGTTTGTTTTGGTGAAATTTCCACTTTTGAAAAGTTATTGAAGCTAAAATAGATTTAATCCAATGTCTTGATGTCATTTTCGTATGTGTACATTGTAGAAACTTTGTGCTTAAGTAAAACTCTTGCAGAAAGGGAGAAATGAGGGAATTCAACTGCAAATCTTGGAATGGGAAGATATTTTTGTCATCACAGGAAATTTATAAATTAATTAGTTCCATTCTAGCTATCTGATTGAAGAGATATAAATGAAAATATTTATTTAAGAGATTAATGAAGAGATTTATTTGAAGAGATATATAATGCTAAAATATTTATTTGAAGAGATATATAATGCTAAAATATTTATTTGAAGAGATATATAAAATATTTATTTGAAGAGATATATAATTAAAATATTTATTTGAAGAGATATATAATGCTAAAATATTTATTTGAAGAGATATATAATGCTAAAATATTTATTTGAAGAGATAAAATATTTATTTGAAAATATTTATTTGATATATAATGCTAAAATTTATTTATTTGAAGAGATATATAATGCTAAAATATTTATTTGAAGAGATATATAATGCTAAAATATTTATTTGAAGAGATATATAATGCTAAAATATTTATTTGAAGAGATATATAATAAAATGAAGAGATAAAAAATATTTATTTGAAGAGATATATAATGCTAAAATATTTATTTGAAGAGATATATAATTTGAAGAGATATATAATGCTAAAATATTTATTTGAAGAGATATATAATGCTAAAATATTTATTTGAAGAGATATATAATGCTAAAATTTATTTGAAGAGATATATAATGAAAATATTTATTTGAAGAGATATATAATGCTAAAATATTTATTTGAAGAGATATATAATGCTAAAATATTTATTTGAAGAGATATATAATGCTAAAATATTTATTTGAAGAGATATATAATAAACATTTATTTTATTTGAAGAGATATATGCTAAAATATTTATTTGAAGAGATATATAATGCTAAAATATTTATTTGAAGAGATATAATGCTAAAATATTTATTTGAAGAGATATATAATGCTAAAATATTTATTTGAAGAGATATATAATGCTAAAATATTTATTTGAAGAGATATATAATGCTAAAATATTTATTTGAAGAGATAAAAATATTTATTTGAAGAGATATATAATGCTAAAATATTTATTTGAAGAGATATATAATGCTAAAATATTTATTTGAAGAGATATATAATGCTAAAAATATTTATTTGAAGAGATATATAATGCTAAAATATTTATTTGAAGAGATATATAATGCTAAAATATTTATTTGAAGATATATAATGCTAAAATATTTATTTGAAGAGATATATAATGCTAAAATATTTATTTGAAGAGATATATAATGCTAAAATATTTATTTGAAGAGATATATAATGCTAAAATATTTATTTGAAGAGATATATAATGCTAAAATATTTATTTGAAGAGATATATAATGCTTATTTGAAGAGATATATAATGCTAAAATATTTATTTGAAGAGATATATAATGCTAAAATATTTATTTGAAGAGATATATAATGCTAAAATATTTATTTTAAAAATATTTATTTGAGATATATAATGCTAAAATATTTATTTGAAGAGATATATAATGCTAAAATATTTATTTGAAGAGATATATAATGCTAAAATATTTATTTGAAGAGATATATAATGCTAAAATATTTATTTGAGATATATAAAATATTTATTTGAAAGATATATAATGCTAAAATATTTATTTGAAGAGATATATAATGCTAAAATATTTTATTTGAAGAGATATATAATGCTAAAATATTTATTTGAAGAGATATATAATGCTAAAATATTTATTTGAAGAGATATATAATGCTAAAATATTTATTTGAAGAGATATAATAAAATGATATATTTGAAGAGATATATAATGCTAAAATATTTATTTGAAGAGATATATGCTAAAATATTTATTTGAAGAGATATATAATGCTATTTTATTTGAAGAGATATATAATGCTAAAATATTTATTTGAAGAGATATATAATGCTAAAATATTTTATTTGAAGAGATATATAATGCTAAAATATTTATTTGAAGAGATATAATGCTAAAATATTTATTTGAAGAGATATATAATGCTATTTATTTGAAGAGATATATAATGCTAAAATATTTATTTTTATATAATGCTAAAATATTTATTTGAAGAGATAAAATATTTATTTGAAGAGCTAAAATATTTATTTTGAAGAGATATATAATGCTAAAATATTTATTTGAAGAGATATATAATGCTATTTATTTGAAGATATATAATGCTAAAATATTTATTTGAAGAGATATATAATGCTAAAATATTTGAAGAGATATATTGAAGAGATATATAATGCTAAAATATTTATTTGAAGAGATATATAATGCTAAAATATTTATTTGAAAATATTTATTGAGATATATAATGCTAAAATATTTATTTGAAGAGATATATAATGCTAAAATATTTATTTGAAGAGATATATAATGCTAAAATATTTATTTGAAGAGATATATAATGCTAAAATATTTATTTGAAGAGATATATAATGCTAAAATATTTATTTGAAGAGATATATAATGCTAAAATATTTATTTGAAGAGATATAATGCTAAATATTTATTTGAAGAGATATATAATGCTAAAATATTTATTTGAAGAGATATATAATGCTAAAATATTTATTTGAAGAGATATATAATGCTAAAATATTTATTTGAAGAGATATATAATGCTAAAATATTTATTTGAAGAGATATATAATGCTAAAATATTTATTTGAAGAGATATATAATGAAGAGATATAATGCTAAAATATTTATTTGAAATATTTTATTTATTTGAAAATATTTATTTGAAGAGATATATAATGCTAAAATATTTATTTGAAGAGATATATAATGCTAAAATATTTATTTGAAGAGATATATAATGCTAAAATATTTATTTGAAGAGATATATAATGCTAAAATTTATTTGAAGAGATTATTTGAAATATTTATTTGAGATATATAAAATGAAGAGATATATAATGCTAAAATATTTATTTGAAGATATATAATAAAATATTTATTTGAAGAGATATATAATGCTAAAATATTTATTTGAAGATATATAATGAAAATATTTATTTGAAGATATATAATGCTAAAATATTTATTTGAAGAGATATATAAAATGCTAAAAAAATATTTATTTGAAGAGATATATAATGCTAAAATATTTATTTGAAGAGATATATAATGCTAAAATATTTATTTGAAGAGATATATAATGCTAAAATATTTATTTGAAGAGATATATAATGCTAAAATATTTATTTGAAGAGATATATAATAAAATATTTATTTGAAAATATTTATTTTGAAGAAGAGATATTTATAAGAGCTAAAATAAAAAAATATTTATTTGAAGAGATATATTTATTTGAAGAGAATGAAGAGATATATAATGCTAAAATATTTATTTGAAGAGATATATAATGCTAAAATATTTATTTGAAGAGATATATAATGCTAAAATATTTATTTGAAGAGATATATAATGCTAAAATATTTATTTGAAGAGATATATAATGCTAAAATATTTATTTGAAGAGATATATAATGCTAAAATATTTATTTGAAGAGATATATAAAATGAAGAGATATATAATGCTAAAATATTTATTTGAAGAGATATAATGCTAAAATATTTATTTGAAGAGATATATAATGCTAAAATATTTATTTGAAGAGATATATAATGCTAAAATATTTATTTGAAGAGATATATAATATTTATTTGAAAAATATTTATTTGAAGAGATATATAATGCTAAAATATTTATTTGAAGAGATATATAATGCTAAAATATTTAAAGAGATATTTAAAATTTTATTTGAAGAGATATATAATGCTAAAATATTTATTTGAAGAGATATATAATGCTAAAATATTTATTTGAAGAGATATAATTGAAGAGATATATAAGAGATATATAAAAATATTTATTTGAAGAGATATATAATGCTAAAATATTTATTTGAAGAGATATATAATGCTAAAATATTTATTTGAAGAGATATATAATGCTAAAATTTATTTATTTGAAAAGATATATAAATGCTAAAATATTTATTTGAAGAGATATAAATAGATATATAATGCTAAATTTTATTTGAAGAGATATATAATGCTAAAATATTTATTTGAAGAGATATATAAATGCTAAAATATTTATTTGAAGAGATATATATAAAATATTTATTTGCTAAAATATTTTATTTGAAGAGAAGAGATATATAATGCTAAAATATTTATTTGAAGAGATATATAATGCTAAAATTTATTTGAAGAGATATATAATTTTTATTTGAAGAGATATAATGCTAAAATATTTATTTGAAGAGAAAAATGCTAAAATATTTATTTGAAGAGATATATAATGCTAAAATATTTATTTGAAGAGATATATAATGCTAAAATATTTATTTGAAGAGATATATAATGCTAAAATATTTATTTGAAAATATTTATTTGAGATATATAATGCTAAAATATTTATTTGAAGAGATATAAAATATTTATTTGAAAATATTTTTATTTGAAGAGATATATAATGCTAAAATATTTATTTGAAGAGATATATAATGCTAAAATATTTATTTGAAGAGATATATAATGCTAAAATATTTATTTGAAGAGATATATAATGCTAAAATATTTATTTGAAGAGATATATAATGCTAAAATATTTATTTGAAGAGATATATAATGCTAAAATATTTATTTAAGAGATATATTGAAAATATTTATTTGAAGATATATAATGCTAAAATATTTATTTGAAGAGATATATAATGCTAAAATATTTATTTGAAGAGATATATAATGCTAAAATATTTATTTGAAGAGATATATAATGAAGAGATATATAATGCTAAAATATTTATTTGAAGAGATATATAATGCTAAAATATTTATTTGAAGAGATATATAATGCTAAAATATTTATTTGAAGAGATATATAATGCTAAAATATTTATTTGAAGAGATATATAATGCTAAAATATTTATTTGAAGAGATATATAATGCTAAAATATTTATTTGAAGAGATATATAATGCTAAAATATTTATTTGAAGAGATATATAATGCTAAAATATTTATTTGAAGAGATATATAATGCTAAAATATTTATTTGAAGAGATATAAATGCTAAATATTTATTTGAAGAGATATATAATGCTAAAATATTTATTTGAAGAGATATATAATGCTAAAATATTTATTTGAAGAGATATATAATGCTAAAATATTTATTTGAAGAGATATTAATGCTAAAATATTTATTTGAAGAGATATATAATGCTAAAATATTTATTTGAAGAGATATATGCTAAAATATTTATTTGAAATATATAATGCTAAAATATTTATTTGAAGAGATATATAATGCTAAAATATTTATTTGAAGAGATATATAATGCTAAAATATTTATTTGAAGAGATATATAATGCTAAAATATTTATTTGAAGAGATATATAATGCTAAAATATTTATTTGAAGAGATATATAATGCTAAAATATTTATTTGAAGAGATATATAATGCTAAAATATTTATTTGAAGAGATATATAATGCTAAAATATTTATTTGAAGAGATATATAATGCTAAAATATTTATTTGAAGAGATATATAATGCTAAAAATATTTATTTGAAGAGATATAATGCTAAAATATTTATTTGAAGAGATATATAATGCTAAAATATTTATTTGAAGATATATAATGCTAAAATATTTATTTGAAGAGATATATAATGCTAAAATATTTATTTGAAGAAAATATATAATGCTAAAATATTTATTTGAAGATATATAATGAAAATATTTATTTGAAGAGATATATAATGCTAAAATATTTAAAGAGATATTTATTTTGAAGAGATATTGAAGAGATATATAATGCTAAAATATTTATTTGAAGAGATATATAATGCTAAAATATTTATTTGAAGAGATATATAATGCTAAAAATATTTATTTGAAGAGATATATAATGCTAAAATATTTATTTGAAGAGATATATAATGCTAAAATATTTATTTGAAGAGATATATAATGCTAAAATATTTATTTGAAGAGATATAATGCTAAAATATTTATTTGAAGAGATATATAATGCTAAAATATTTATTTGAAGAGATATATAATGCTAAAATATTTATTTTATTTGAAGAGATATATAATAAAAATATTTATTTGAAGAGATATAATGCTAAAATATTTATTTGAAGAGATATATAATGCTAAAATATTTATTTGAAGAGATATATAATGCTAAAATATTTATTTGAAGAGATATAATGCTAAAATATTTATTTGAAGAGATAAAATATTTATTTGAAGAGATATATAATGCTAAAATATTTATTTGAAGAGATATATAATGCTAAAATATTTATTTGAAGAGATATATAATGCTAAAATATTTATTTGAAGAGATATATAATGCTAAAATATTTATTTGAAGAGATATATAATGCTAAAATATTTATTTGAAGAGATATATAATGCTAAAATATTTATTTGAAGAGATATATAATGCTAAAATATTTATTTGAAGAGATATATAATGCTAAAATATTTATTTGAAGAGATATATAAAATATTTATTTGAAAATATTTATTTGAAGAGATATATAATGCTAAAATATTTATTTTATTTGAAGAGATATATAATGCTAAAATATTTATTTGAAGAGATATATAATGCTAAAATATTTATTTGAAGAGATATATAATGCTAAAATATTTATTTGAAGAGATATATAATGCTAAAATTTATTTATTTTATTTGAAGAGATATAAGAAGAGATATATAATGCTAAAATATTTATTTGAAGAGATATATAATGCTAAAATATTTATTTGAAGAGATATATAATGCTAAAATATTTATTTGAAGAGATATATAATGCTAAAATATTTATTTGAAGAGATATAATGCTAAAATATTTATTTGAAGAGATATATAATGCTAAAATATTTATTTGAAGAGATATATAATGCTAAAATATTTATTTGAAGAGATATATAATGCTAAAATATTTATTTGAAGAGATATATAATGCTAAAATATTTATTTGAAGAGATATATAATGCTAAAATATTTATTTGAAGAGATATATAATGCTAAAATATTTATTTGAAGAGATATATAATGCTAAAATATTTATTTGAAGAGATATATAATGCTAAAATATTTATTTGAAGAGATATATAATGCTAAAATATTTATTTGAAGAGATATATAATGAAAATATTTATTTGAAGAGATATATAATGCTAAAATATTTATTTGAAGAGATATATAATGCTAAAATATTTATTTGAAGAGATATATATGCTAAAATATTTATTTGAAGAGATATATAATGCTAAAATATTTATTTGAAGAGATATATAATGCTAAAATATTTATTTGAAGAGATATATAATGCTAAAATATTTATTTGAAGAGATATATAATGCTAAAATATTTATTTGAAGAGATAGCTAAAATATTTATTTGAAGAGATATATAATGCTAAAATATTTATTTGAAGAGATATATAATGCTAAAATATTTATTTGAAGAGATATATAATGCTAAAATATTTATTTGAAGAGATATATAATGCTAAAATATTTATTTGAAGAGATATATAATGCTAAAATATTTATTTGAAGAGATATATAATGCTAAAATATTTATTTGAAGAGATATATAATGCTAAAATATTTATTTGAAGAGATATATAATGCTAAAATATTTATTTGAAGAGATATATAATGCTAAAATATTTATTTGAAGAGATATATAATGCTAAAATATTTATTTGAAGAGATATATAATGCTAAAATATTTATTTGAAGAGATATATAATGCTAAAATATTTATTTGAAGAGATATATAATGCTAAAATATTTATTTGAAGAGATATATAATGCTAAAATATTTATTTGAAGAGATATATAATGCTAAAATATTTATTTGAAGAGATATATAATGCTAAAATATTTATTTGAAGAGATATATAATGCTAAAATATTTATTTGAAGAGATATATAATGCTAAAATATTTATTTGAAGAGATATATAATGCTAAAATATTTATTTGAAGAGATATATAATGCTAAAATATTTATTTGAAGAGATATATAATAAAATAATTTGAAGAGATATATAAAATATTTATTTGAAGAGATATATAATGCTTATTTATTTGAAGAGATATATAATGCTAAAATTTTATTTGAAGAGATATATAATATATTTATTTGAAGAGATATATAATGCTAAAATATTTATTTGAAGAGATATAATGCTAAAATATTTATTTGAAGAGATATATAATGCTAAAATATTTATTTGAAGAGATATAATGCTAAAATATTTATTTGAAGAGATATATATAATGCTAAAATATTTATTTGAAGAGATATATTTAAAATATTTATTTGAAGAGATATATAATGCTAAAATATTTATTTGAAGAGATATATAATGCTAAAATGCTTTGAAAATATTTATTTGAAGAGATATATAATGCTAAAATATTTATTTGAAGAGATATATAATGCTAAAATATTTATTTGAAGAGATATATAATGCTAAAATATTTATTTGAAGAGATATATAATGCTAAAATATTTATTTGAAGAGATATATAATGCTAAAATATTTATTTGAAGAGATATATAATGCTAAAATATTTATTTGAAGAGATTAAATGAAAATATTTATTTGAAGATATATATAATGCTAAAATATTTATTTGAAGAGATATATAATGCTAAAATATTTATTTGAAGAGATATATAATGCTAAAATAGACAAATGCTGTTTTTTCTTTTTTCTTCCTTTCTTATGGCCTTGATCTCACTTGAAACTGACTGGACATGTTACTGCCAAATCTTTTCTCTATTTTATATAGACTCACTTGTAGGAAATTTAAAGTGTTTTTGTTTTTTTGTTGTTGCACTTTGGCACAAACGATTGGCGCAGATTGTGACTTAAGGATTATAAATAAAAATGTCTTTTTTTTTTTTTTTTTTTTTTTACTGAGTTTAGCTTCAGATGCTAATAGTTGCCATTATAGTTTTTCTACCTTCCCTTTTCCATAAATTGAACTTGACAACATTTTGAGTTTTTTTTATTTTTTGTTTTACAGCTACCATGATCTTTACCTGAAATGCAAAGGTAACATCTTCAAAAACAAGCGTGTCTTGATGGAACATATTCACAAGAAGAAGGCCGAGAAGCAGAGAACTAAACTGCTCAGGTATTTATAGTTTCCCTTTTGTTTTTCCATTTAGTTTTCTAGATCTTAGCTTTAGTTAAGAAATTGGTCACATTAAGTTAATTCCCTTTGTTTTTCTTTGTAACATTGTCATAATTTTATATTAAATATAGTCTTTTCTCTTCTGAATGGTATTAAAAAAAATTTTAGTTTACTGACTGGAAAGATGTAACCCATTTTTTATATTCAACAGTCTTATGATGTTTCTTTTATTTTGGATAGTTTAGTAATATCAAAAATCGAAACAATATCATGGATCGCCTCATGTTTGTGGTCAGTGAAAATTATAGCTCGGATATAAAAATGAATTTATATCACTATAGATAATTAAATACATAGATAAAAAAAAAAATTTTCTTTTCTTTTTCCTTTAGTGACCAAGCTGAAGCTCGCAGGACAAAGGTCAAGGAAGCTCGTAAGAGGCGTGAAGAGCGTATTGCTCAGAAGAAGGCTGATTTACTCAAATCTTACCGTGATGAGGATGCCCAGAAAAAGTAATGGCTTGTATGATTGTAAACAAGAATTAAAATGTTTCAGATACATTTTTGTTACTTTTATATTTATCTTGCTATTGTCAGTTTGAAATGAAGATGAATTTGCTGTTTAACAGGCAACAAAGGTATAAAGTCTCGCTAGAATCAGATCTTTAAAAGTTGCATGGAAATATTAAGTCAATATTTAAAAAAAAAAATCTTTCATTCTAATGTACTGAGATAATGTTGACTTCTTTTTTTTTTTTTTTTTTTTTGCCCCTTGAGACAAGTGGAAAAATAACTCCAGAGTTTGGTTGAAGCAGTTATATTTGTAAGGTTAGCTTTTTTGGGTTGAAGGTGCAACCAACTTGAACATTTGTCAAACAATCATTGCTTCAGTTGTTTGAAATTTAGCATTGCAACTGAACTACATTATTTGCCATTCCTGTTAAAGCATAGTGCACATCTCGTGTATCTAAGTTTGTTTAAACAGTAATCTCTGTCATGACCAAGCTGTGATAATGTATGTTATTTCTAGGAAAACAAGTGATTGCAGTTCTTTTAATTTCTCAAAGTGCTTGTCTGAGATGACAGAATGGGTTTAGTTTGAATTTATTTCACATCTGGATAATCAAGGGAGAATTGTAATAGGTGTTGGGATATTTTTATTTCAGTTCTCAAAGAAAACTTAAACACTTTGTATATAGGGTAATGCTAATGATACTTAGCTTATTATTTTTGTATTACATTGAGAAATAAGGGAGACAATTCAACTTTGTCGTTAATGGAGCTGTTGTTCTCCCTTGGCCTATTTAAATGAAAACAGTTGATCCAATTGAACTAAATATGCCGTTTTTGCTGTTGCATTGGAATTTGATCATTATTGTATGTATTCTGTATAATTCTGCGTCACATTCAGGAACTATTACAGGTATTTGGATGACCTTATTGTTAATTGCATCAGTTTGTGATAGCTTGTTTGATTGCTGACAAGTATTAATTTTTCTTTACTTGTAGAGATATCTTAATATTTGAAAGAAAAAAATCTCATTCCTTCCAAGAATGAGAATTTTGTTGTCCTGTTGAAGGTTTTTAAAAGTTCTTTGTATGTGATGTTAGATTTGTTTTTTTTTATTGATTTACTACATTTTTTTTCTGTAAAAATATTTACAAGCCTTGGAATTTAAAAACATTTTATTTTGACAAGTGTTTACAAGCTTCTAGTCTGAATTAGTTAATTTTGGGTTTTTTAGTTGTTGATGGATATTTTTCTTTTTAAATTTGTAAATTGATTTACCTAAAGGTAACTTAATTGGAAGTTATTTTGAACAAATTCAAATACATTGGTATTGGTTGCAGTGGATTAGGGGAAATCTGAGCATGCTATTACTTTCTGAAGCTAGCTTATGTAGATGAGAATGTTTGCCAAAGAGCCTGAAAAGGCCAATAACTTTGGGTGAATGTCTTGGTAATGTATAAACTTTCAATAACTGTAAAATTTAGTGTAAATAGACTTTATTGTTGCTGCATGTTTGACTTTGAAGTTTGAAGCTCTGAATATCTACCTCTCTCTCTCTGTTATTTGTCAAACAATTACTATTAAAACCAAAAAAGAAAGGATATAAACACAACTAGTCACATTTGAAAACTCCATAACCTTTTTGAGAGAAATTTAGCCATTTTCTGTAAAAATGATTATAACAGTTGATAACTGAATCAATGTAAAATAACAAGCAGAATAAAATGTTGTCAAAAAATATACAAACAAAAGGGAGGGGACACTCATCATTTGTATGTTACCCTCATGATGCAAATTAAAAAAAAAAAAATAAAAAAAACTTTACCTGACAACCATAAATGGTTACAGAAACAATGTTGGCTATGAAAACCTTAAATGTTTGGGGTGGTGTAAAATTAGGTCCAAATTTCTAAAATAGGGAGTAAAACATCTGATGTTTAATCTGAACCCCATTTTGTCTTACTAATGTGGAAATAAAAATGTGAAAATTTATTTTTCAGATTGCATACACCATTTCAACATATTCTTGCTCATACACTTTACCAATTTAGTTTTTTTTTTTTCTTGTGGATGGAGGTGTCTCCTATAAAACTGGAATTCAATGTGTTTTGTAACCCATTTAGGTCTTTGTAGTACATAGACATACCCACAATTGCTAGGTGGTATAAGGCAAGATAGCTCAAACTCTATTCCTCTGTCTGTTTTGAATTCAATCTTCTAGACTGCCTACTTAAGCAATGGAGTTATATATATTTTGTTCATATTAAGACATCTCAAATAATTTAGACAAGTTTTTACTTATTTTAATAGGTTCCTTTTATAATTACAAGTTTCTTAGTATCCTTATTAAGAGTATAAAGAAAATTATCATTTTAAAACATCTCAATATTTCCAATTGTGTGCCTGTTTACATTCAGTTTAGGAAAATTCTTGCTGAAAATTCTTGAAGGTTTCTACATTAAAAAAAATTGAATCCAACCTTTTAATAAAATTATGGATACTACACAAATGTTTTAATGTTTACAGTAGATTAAAATATCTAGGTTTTACAGTTTTTCTTTGTTTTTTTTTTTTGTTTGTTTAAATAAAAAAAAAAAAAACTTTCAATAACTTAGTTGCCCCCCTTGATGTTTGCACCTGTCTACATGATAAAATTTAAAAATTATACAGTACATAACCTTAGTGTTTTTCATTTTCACATAAAAATGTAATTTTCAGATGAACATGACTTTTTTTTTTTTTTGTCTTAGAAAAAATAAGACCTTCATGGCAACAATGTTGAAAGTACTCAAAATAAAATGAATATTTATCAACATGATGATTTTTCTTTCTTCCCTTTAATAAGGATATTAAAAAATTGTCTGTAATTACAAGAGGAACCTATCAATAAGTTAAAAAAATTTATCTAAATTACTTAATGGGACATATCTTTATAAAGTCAGGTCAGAACTAATAAAGCTTTGTTTAAGGCTACTGGAAATGCATCTGAGAGAATACCTTGATGGTTCATCCAGCCCTCTATTCCATCATGGAGTATAAAAATCAGACACAAAATGATCCAGACAGGCAAACAGTGACCCACATTGTAAGGCTTGGGATTTTGTCAAAGGCCATCTAGAGATCCTAGAAGATGAACATTAGTGGTTTTTGCTACTTACAACTCTTCCATCACAAGCACATGTCGATAATGCTTCTCTAAGGTAAGAAACCACATTGGGATTCTGGAAGGATCTTTACTAACAAAAGGAGATGCTGCTTCAGTATTATTCACAGAGATTTTGCCAACAATACTTAGGGGGAATTGTTCTTATTCTTGCTGTCGACGGCTGTTTTATCCATACCAAGTTTTATGTATCAAGCATTGGTCAGGCCTTTGTTTTTAGACCACTCTGAAAGAAAAAAAATTAAGATTTTATCAGTCTGGCAGCTTTCTTGGGTTTTATGAAGTGGAGTGCTTCTTTCAATTCATGGAAGGTTGTGGGGGTGTGTTCACTTAATACAAGAGTTATGAAATCAGGTTGTAAGGGTGTACAAGAGAGGGTAGGATAGAAAGCAGTCAACCTAGACATGAGGTTAAAAATGTAGTGATCAGCTAAGAAGCAATCTGAGTAGAACTGAATCGTCATGAGTTGACTCCCCCTGCCCAAGGCCAAACAATTCCTAGCTGTGAAGGTCTGAACTGGTGGAATCAAGGAATCTAGTTTGTTTGAACATTTACCATGAAAATAGAGGCTAGCAACATTTTATCTGAAAAGGGAATGTAGGGTGTAAAATAATTCATCACCCATAAGTAGGGACATCCCAGGTAATGCTAAAAAAAAGTGGTATACCCTGGAGAAAAATGGTCCCCAAATTGATAAAAAAATTTTTAACGTGTAAATGTTTATGTTAAAATTAAACAGGGAAGACCAAAGTATTTTTTCAGATTTTTAGTCCTTCCTATAAATTTTAAAAATTTTATTTAAAAATCTCGTTTTTCTTGAATAAAAAATAACTAGTAAATTCAATTTTCGGCCATTTCTGGCCGAATTTGTAAACAAAGAATCAAAATTAGTTCGAAAATCAATTAAAATTCAGTTACACCTCCTTTTTTTTTTTTTTTTTTTTTTTTTTTTTTTGTTAGGAAATTTAGAATGATTAAAGTACACTTAATGTAATTTGAAAGAAACATTACTTACTTTTTTTTAGCAGAAAATTTTTAATAGAGATATTTCAACCATGGTAACTTTGATTGAAGAGTGTTAATTGATGGGTGTCAATATATTGACAACTTAAATCAAGAGAATTTATCATACGGTAGAACAGAAGTGATGTAATTCGTTCTAATTTTAAGTGAACCTGGTTAGTAAATTTAAAAAAATAACTTTCAATTTTTTTTTTTTTTTTTTTGTTACGTTTGAAGAAAAATTTCTGCACTGAAAATAACATTTAAATTGTGAAAAAAAAAATCAAATTTTACAAGTAAAATGAAATAGTAACAACATTTTTAAATTGAGTTAATATTGAAATGCTAATGCAATCGATTTCAAATTTTGCTTTGTTGTTAACTGAATGAATGAAAGTAATTTCTGAAGTAAAAAAAAATTGGGGAAACAACTCTACCTTTAACGTGACGTTATTTCAAAGCTGTGCATCCATACTTTCGTTGGAGACGATTTTAAATACAATTTTGGAATATTAAATTATTTTAAAAATATTAACAGTTGTCAGATTTTAATAAGCTTTCAAATTTATGATCTATAAGAAGTAGAGAACATAATATGTCATTTCCATAAGGCTTTATAAATAAACTTAATTTTAAAATATATAACATTTTGTCATATTGTGTATTTAAAATAGAAAAAAAAGAAAAAATTATTGTAAAAATTTGATTTTCATCAAATTTTTTTTTTTTTTTTTTTTTTCAGATAAGAATTACCTTAGTATATGTTATTCAGAAAAGTCATAAAAAGTTTTTTTTAAAATTAAATATTGTCTCAGTTTTAAAATTGTATTTCTACAATTGA